GACAAAAGTGGGCCGGCGGGCCAGATTCAACCTGCCAAACCACCAGATCTGGCCTGCAGATGCTGCGGGAACCTCCAGGCAGGCTGCCCGCTTCCCTTGTCCTACCCACATGCAGCTCAGAAATGCAGCTGTGGGGCAGTTTTTCGTTTTCTAGTTCAAAACTGGAGGGGAGAGGGGAAGCTTTAGGAGCTGCCCCTGCCTCCCGCACAATCCTATTGGCCGGTCAATGAGAGCTGCCTGTTTCAATAATAGGCAGCCATAAAGCACATGGTGCAATTTGGGTGGGGGTGGGCAGGCAGGGAGGCTGATTCAGGATCCACAGCTGGTCTACTAGCAGTGCCTACTAGTGACTCTGCCCCCTCTCCCCCCCACCCTAATCTGCCCACATACCTAAATCCTTTGCCCCCTTCCTGTAGCTATATCCCCTCCCAGATCCAGCACCTCAATCCTCTTCCCCAGATGACAGTCCCCTCTTGCCCTAGCTCACAACTCAAATCCCTGCACCCCCTTCTGTACCCCAATTCCCTGCCCTAAGTCACAATGCAACCCCCTCTACCCCAGTCCAGTGCCCCCGGTCACAACTGCCTCCTTCACCCAAACTCCTTCCCTTACCCCAAGCTCCCTTCTGCAACCAACCTCCATCCCAACCCCGCATCTCTTCCATTAATATCAGGGAAGCATGTGGCCCTTGACCACTTTCCAAAATCTTGGAGTGGCCCCCCATCAAAAATTATTGCCCAACCCTGACCTAGAGGCTACAATCAGTATTGGGACCCCATTATAAGATGCTGTAGAAATTCATATAAAGACATAATTCTTAACTTTCCAAATTCTTAGAGTGGCACCCCCATCAAAAATTATTGCCCACTTCTGTTCTACCCTGTTACACTGAAGTCATTGGAATTTTTTCAGTTTTACACCATATAACTGAAAATCGAATTTGGCTCTTACAAAAGTAGCATTGAAAGTTTGAAAAATCTCATCAAATGTTAAATAGAGAGCCTGTTTGTTTTTGCTTCTTGAACTGTGTTTGACTGTAAATCTTGACTAATTTGCTTATACTGTATGCAGTTTCACTTTGATTCTCGCGAGTGGCATAATTCTGTTGTTTGTGAGATTGCAAATATTTCAAGAAAGTATTTAAATACAAAAAACGTACTTGCATTTTTGCCAATCATGAAAATATTTAATTAACATTATTTTGTAAAATGCAGCCTTTTATTATGTTTAATATAAAACCTAAAATTTGGGTCCAGTCAGCATGACACAATACCATTTTAACAATTCTTTGAGTAGTTTTTCTAGGATGCCTCACTTCATGTACACATGTGCTCCATATGCCTTTAATCAGAGGTTTTTAGTAGTAGTGCCCATTCAGCCTGAGCTTGCACTTCTGATAGCCTCATGTTTTGTACCCAGGTTATATAGGTTTGTGTGGACAAACTGCCTTCATTTCCTTCTAATTTGCCCTTTACGCTGAAACAATGTCAACATGCTCATTTCTTTTTAGGCATAGGTTATTGTCTTTAGTCTAGCTCATAGTAATTAGTTTTTGTGGTTCTGTTGTTTTCCCCCTTTTTTCTTTTCCTGCTGCAAGGATTATTCTGGACATGGCACTTTTTAATATACCGGGATCCTCAGGTTTTAAATGTTGCCTCTCCTGCCAGGAAGCTATCCTAGTAATTGATGAGTCTCTTTCCACAGATTAAAGAACCCATCACGATATGGGATTTGAACTTTTTCCTCAATTTCTTTATAAAATGTTTATTTTGAGCTGAGGTGGGAAGCCTCTGGCCAGTGAGAAAGATCCAGCCCTGTGCTTAATATCATCCAACCACCATCAAGTCTCCATGCCACAACCCCCCCCGCCGCCATCACCCCATGCTGGGCTGGAGCTGTGAATGACAATCAGGAAAGCTCTACATGGTGTCCACTCCTACGGGTGCCACACCCATAGTTCCCGTTGATCTGCAGCCAAAGGCAGCTGCAGGGGCAGCACCTGGAGCCATATCCTTCCCCTTCCACCCCTCCCCCATCCCTCCAAGGGGCCAGCCGCTTCCAGGAGTGGTGTGGGGCTAGGGCAGGCGGGGAGCCTGCCTTAGCCCTGCTTTGCCACTGACCAGAAGCCACCTGAGGTAAGCAGGGCCCAGCTGGCACCCACATCCCAAACTCCTTCCCCAGTCATGAATCCCCGTCCTCCCCTGTCCCACCCCAGAGCCCAAAATCACTCACATCCCAACCCTCTATCATAGGACTGAGCCCCCTCCGACACCCAGACTCCTTCCCAGAGCCCACACTTCCACCCCAAACCTCTGACTCATGTCAGAAATCTCTCTTGCGCTCACTCCCTCACAGACAGTGGCATAGTCACGGCTGGGCTGTGGCCCACTCACTTTTCATCCAGTCCCACCCACCTATGCAGGCCAGGTATGGGGTCATCGTTGCTATGACTGGAGAGCAGAACTGACGTTCCAGGGCTCAGCCCACGACACCTACACTCTGGCCAGGGAGCGGAGCCAGGGCAGGGGCCTTACCACTCCCACCATTGCCCACCCACTCTAAGTTGGGGTCAACCCAAGTGTGTTCGTCTGGCTATGCCACTACTCCCAGAGCCTGCACCTCCACCCCTTGCCTCAGCCCTGAGCCAACTCTAGTACCTTAACTCCTGCCCAGACACTGCACCCCCATCCGTACCCCAATGCCTGCCCTGAGCCCACTCCTGCACTGCAAACCACTTGGCCCCCTCCTAGACCCTAAACCCATTATCTCCACCCCAGAACCCACATCCCCAGTTGAAACTCTCATCCCCTCTTCATTTTTGGTCCCAGGCTGGGGATGAGGGGTATTCCTGAGCCTCTGTGCCCCTTTCCTTCCCACAGGGCTGTGTATGGCCCATGACTGATTTTGGGAGGCTCAGTGGCCTTTGATAGGAAAAAGTTTCACCATCCCAATTTAATTAATAGGTTACATGCTCTTTACTTCACCTATCCTTTGAAACTGCATTCTTGATGGCTGATACTTCTTCCTGGAGGAACAGAGAAATGGGGGCATTAATGGCAGATTCTTCTTTGAGTGATGTCCCCGTAGGTGCTCCACTGTTGGTGCTGGGCTCATACTGTGCTGGAGTTCGGAGACTTTTTCTAGCAGTCTCTAGTTGGGCCACACATGCACAAAAGTGGCACAGGGTGTTCATGCCTTTGGAGTTTGAGCACATGGC